GAGGTGGTATCACTACAGAAGTAGATTGCCCAACCTTCCTTCTGAGGAGTGGCTGGTGGATTTGAACCACCAGCCTTCTGGTTAGCAGTCAAATGCCTAGGTACTACATCACCAGAGCTAAAAATCTCTTTTGAAGAAAATAGCCTCTCTCCTAGAATGCTGATCAAATTCTACTTAAGCCATTGGGATGTCTAAGAGCACAGCAGGGGCAGGGATTGGGTCTGAGAATCCCCTATATCCCTAGCACAGTAGTTACTACATTTTGAATACTCAGAGTGTATTTGAAAGATGGGTGGATGGTTGAATGGATAGATGGGTGAATGGATGGAAAGACAGATAGATGTATGAATGAAGGAAGAAGGAAAGAAAAGATGTATAGTTTTCCAAGGGCTGGGTTATTTTATCCATTTTGTTCACTGAAGCATCCCAAGAACCTAGCAAAGTACCTGGCACAGAGTAAGCATTCAGTATATATCTTTTAAATAAATGGTGGATGAATGGTGAAACTGATGATGGATAGAGACTAGGTTGATGACTGTATGGATGGATGGATGAAGGATTGGATAGATGGATAAATAGAGGGACTGATGAATGAGCAAGGCAGAGAATAGGTAGATGGATAGATGAGTTAATGAATGATGAATTAATGAATGAATGGAAGGTCTATTCCGCTTCTACCTAGACCAAACATGGTATGCTTAGCTATGACTGACACAGGAGCCATTCTGAAGTCCTCCTACCTCAAACCACTTCCCTTACTACTGAGGTGGGTGGATGGGAGTAGATGAGTGGGTGGAGCAGACCCTCTACTCCCTCAGATCCCTGGTTCCTCTAGACTGGGCTAAGCCTACCCCACCACTACCACCATTGAGTACCTGAGGCGGTATCCTGTGGTCCGAAGTCCATAGACACCACAGAAGCTAGCTGGTATGCGGATGCTGCCACCTGTGTCAGTACCCATACCTAGGATGGAACCTCTTTCTGCCAGAAGAGCTCCTTCCCCCCCTGAGGAGCCTCCAGGTATCTTCTTTAAGTTCAAGGGGTTCAGAGTCTGGCCATAGATGGGGTTGCTGCAATCAAAGCTAAAGAAAGAAGGGCATTGGGAAGTTGCGGCTTTACTGGGACTAACCACTCTCTCCGCATGTAGAGCCTGACCACCCTCAGGAATCAGACCCAGGGATTCTTTGGCTCTGATGGTTCCATCAGCTCCTCAATGATTTTCCTTCTTGCTGGAGTGAGGGGTTGCTTCTTCAGGAACAACCAAGCCCAGACACCAACCAACCAAACCCATTGCTGGTGGAGTCAATGCTGACTCATAGCGACCCTATAGGACAAAGTAGAACTGCCCCGCAGGGTTTCCAAGGCTGCAAATCTTTACAAAAGCAAACTGTCACATCTTTCTTCTGCAGAACAGCTGGTAGGTTTGAACCAACAACCTTTTGATTAGCAGTCAAGCAATTAATCACTGCACCACCAGAGCTCCTTAGACACCAACTACAACTCTCAAAATCAGGACCAAGGAGCCCACAGCTCTGTTATCAGAACTGAGAACAGATTCATCAGAAAAATAGATATACTAAAGGCTTAGAGGAGAGGAGAGAGAATAGGGAATAAAATTGGAGAAGCCAGGATAGAAACAGAGATGTAACCTTTTAGAACCTCAAAGACTGAAGGGACTTAGAGACCATAGAATGTACCCACATATTATAAGATGGGGAAAATAAGTCCCAGAAGGCAGAAAGGACTTGCCCAAGAATCCTGGTCCTTGAGGTATGTAGGACTGGCTTCTACCTCTCCCTCTGCCCTGAGTCTGGGACTTTAAGAAGCAATTTCTGCTCTGGGCCCAGCCCCAGCCTTAAGCCTGCCCACTTCAGAGACCTGAACAATGTCTGGGGGATGTTGGTTTTAACAAAAGGAATAGCTCCCTGGGCTTTCAGCACTTTCACAATGACCCCGTCCTTGGCCGCAGGCTTCTCCAGGAACTGGATGAGACCACACGTAGAATCATGGCCCTGCAAAGAAAGGAATTACTTCTAGCCCATGAGAGTCAGAGTGGAATCACACCCTTCTGGCTCTCACCCTACTCTATCCCCACTTATATACATTTTCACGCCCTCTGAGACATGAGCACTGCAAACTTAGGGGGTTCACAAGTGGCAGAACAACATGGCAGTTAAGAGTTTGGGTGTCAAATCCTAGCACTACCACTTTCTAGCCATGCAGCATTAGTCAAGTAACTTGTCCAGTGTCACATACTCAGATGTTCACAGGCTCAGTAACAAATGTGTATGCCCCTACATATATATGCACACATGTACACATGTATCTACACATACATTCGAGAGCTCACCATGCAGTCAAAGGTGTCCTTGAGGCTCATGGGAACCCCATAGTGTGGGCCTCTCTCAAATTTCTTGAGTTTCTTCAGCTCCTGTAGTTGGTTCTCACATTCCTCCAGGAAATCCGTCAGGCAGTTCACTTCCTCGTGCACCTGCAGTGCCTAAGCACATGGAGGCAGACCAGAAAGGGAGCCCAGAGTGAGGGCAGGGGCAGGGCCAGGGCACTCAATCTGTCCAACCCCTCCCGCTACCCTGACTCAGAGCAGAATGGAAGCAACAGATGACTGTAGCATGCCCCTACCCTCAGTTGGCTGCAGCACTATGGATTTACATCTGCCCTCAACTCCTCAAAGTAGAACAATGACAGGTAGCACCCCAACACGAACACAGAGTCCCAGGTTTGGGACCTGTCCTCTGGTACCCACCTTCTCCAAGTAGCTACAGAGGACGCTCTCTAGGCTCAGCTCTTCATTCTGAAGCTTCTGGGCCAGTGTCAGCAGGGGCAGCTCCAGGATGGGTCCAGGATCTAGACTTGGCTCCTACAGAGATGAGGTGGGGTAGGCAGATATCAAAGACCCACCACTCAACATTACACACCATACACTCCACTGGACACTTGGTTTCACACAGCGATGTACTCAGTTCCTGTGCTCATCTTTTTTTTTTTTTTTAACCATTTCTTACATACTTTATTAATCATTTTAATTATTTAAAAACTTGAAAATAGTCCCAAAATTAAGTCCAGTGAAGATTATATTAGACTCCTTTAAAGAATCCAGTCCCATTTTATGATTAAAAAAAAGTTAGAAGTCTACTGGATTAAAATCCAACAAAGTCTCTCTTGAAAAAGAGGGTTTATTTTAACAACTCTGTTTTGTCAGAGACTTAATTGTCAAGAATGAAGGGAAAAGTGTGTTACCTTAGGAAATGGCAGCTGCCCAGCCTCATGCATGCATGCAGTTATCACCAACAGAAGGAATGAAGGTAAGCCAAACAAGGAGCCCTGGTTAAAGCATTCCACTACTAACCAAAAGATTGGCAATTTGAACCCACCAGCCACTCTACAGGAGAAAGATGAGGCAGTTCAGTTTTGTAAAGATTTACAGCCTTGGAAATCCTATAGAACAATTCTACTCTGTCCTAGAGGGTTACTATGAGTCAGAATCAACTCAATGAAAGTGAGTTTTTGGTTTAAACTGAAAACACTTATCAGTATGAAAAACTTAACCGTTACCTAGGGAGAGATAGGTAAAAAGCATCAAATTGGATAGAGTAAGGTGGTGATATAGGGCAACTCTTCAGAACAAAAAGAGGGAACATAAGACTAGGATAACACAGAAAGAAGGTGGGGGAATAGGGATATTAGTGCTATAACTTGGAGCCATGTGCTCTGGAATCCTAAATCAGGTTATCAGCAAGGGGTTTAGAGGTGGAGAGGAGAAAATAAGAAAGAAAAGGTAAAGGGGTCAAAGGCTATATTTGCCCAGCCCCCTTCAAGCCCTTAAGAACTAGAACAAAGGAGAAGGGAGGCATAAGGAAAAGAGAGATTGTCTTTATCAATATATTTCATATTGGAAGAGGGCTCTGTATGATATTTTTGCTGTGACATTAGCTTCTCTGTCAGCCCACCTTTCCCTAGGTGTATAATAAGGATAATTGTACTGAACCCACAAGGAGTTTATGACTAATAAGTTGGCTAATAAATAATGTAAAGGGCTTAGTACGTGCATGTTATTGTTGTTGTTAGGTGCCATCGAGTTGGTCCTGACTCACAGTGACCCTATGTGTAACAGAACAAAACACTGCCCACTCCTGTGCCATCCCTACAAGCCTTGCTATGCTTGAGCCCATTGTCAAAGCCACAGTCAATCCGTCCAGTTGATGGGTCTTCCCCTTTTTCACTGACCCTCTTATTCACCCAGCATTATGTACTTCTCCAGGGACTGATCCCTTCCGATCACATGACCAAAGCGTGAGAGATGAAGCCTGGCCATTCTCACTTCCAAAGAACATTCTGGCTCTGCTTCTTCCAAGACAGATTTGTTTGTTCTTTAGCAATCCATGGTACCTTCAATATACTTTGCCAACATCACAATTCAAAGCATTAACTCTTCCGAGGTATATATCACAGAGTAAATGTATGATAAATATTACCTATCAATATTACTCATGTAGTCAGTTTATATCATAAACCAAACTCACTGCTATCGAGTTGATTGGAACTCATAGCAACCCACACAGGGTTTACAAGGCTATAAATCTTTACTGAAGCAGACTGTCACATCTTTCTTCCATGGAGCAACTGGAGGGTTTGAACCAGTGACCTTTTGGTTAACAGCCAAATGTGTTAACCACTACACCACCAGTGCCCCTTAGTTTACATCATAGTCATAATATATTAGAGGAGGTAGGTAGCAGAGACATTTAGAGATTATCCAGTCAAGTTTAACCCCCTAATACAGGCAGTCCTTATACTGTGAACTCACATGTGAAAATTATATTCTTAAAAGCCAGTTGTATTGGATTTTATCAAATGTGTTTTCTGCATCAGTTGATATGATC